CATTAAAGAAGGCATATGGCTGCATGGTTTGTTGAATGAACTTGGTTTTGTAGACACTAATCCAATACTATATTCTGACAATCAAAGTGCAATCCATTTGAGTAAGAATCCCATGTTCCATGATAGAATGAAGCATGTTGATTTCCATGATAGAATGAAGCATGTTGATGTAAAATATCACTTTATAAGGGATATTATATCAAAAGGATTGTTGAAAATAAATAAAATACCTACTTTGTATAATCTATCAGATATGGGAACTAAGGTAATACCTTTAAATAAGTTTCAAAACTGTTTAAAGATGTTATCTATTGATTCTTTTAATTGATTTTATAGGTACCTGGATCAAATGACATTATAAACGTTGGTGAAGCTTGTGGGTGCACTATAGCCTTAAATTTTGGAAGCAAGGTGAAGATTGTTAAAAATTAAGCTGCTGACTTTTTATTGTGTGAAGAGTGCTTCCAAAATTATTGAAGAAAACGTGTCTTTCAATAATAACAACTCTATTAGTGAGGGCAATTAACAAGATTTTGACACTTGGCATCTTGGAGACCATTGGATCAGATTCTGATGACTTATAATATATAAATCTGGTACCTATTCTGATGGACAGGTTCAACTTCAGTTTTTGACAGAAAAATTTAGAAATTATTTCTTTCCTTCAGCTCGTGAACTTGCCCCTTTCTTTCTCTTCGAGAATCTCTAATTTCTTGGTGATTTAGGGTTCTTATGTTGAAGATATTATTGGTGATTACTCTTGTTTTGTGATCGGCAGTTAGAGAAGAAAATTTCAGAGACTTTATTCTTGGTTTTTGGCAAAAAGACGTGAGCTATTCTCGAGGGTTCGAAGTTGCCTGTCTCTTCTTCTCTGAGTGTTAACTCTCTATTATTCTTGGGTGATTCATTTAACTGGAAGCAAGATTTCGGATATTATTCTTGGTGTTGAGACCGTATTCGGGTTCTCGTTTTTCTCTGTGTGAGAACTTCATTTTCTTCATGAAAAGGGTTTTTTCTTGAGGGTTCCAGTGATAAATGTTGAGAGTTACCTTGGTTAAATGTGTGCCGAGTCTTGTATGAACCTGTGTGGTTCAAGAAAGGGCAGTTTGGAGGGCAAAATCTGTGTTGGTTGATCTTCGTGATCTCAGTTAGTTCCTGTGTGGAATAGTGGTTGCCTTGTGTAGTTCTAGAAAAGATAAGTTCTATATTTGGTTCTTTGTAAATTTTTGAAACACTGTTGTATTTTTGTTGCTTGATTTTTGGGGCTTTATAGTGCAACCGAACTTTATCCATTTTAATGGATGCTCAACAGGAGAATAGGCATTAGAAGTGGTCACCAAACCTCTGGGGCTTCGACCGGAAAAATCTTGTGTACATTTTACAATTTTCTGCATTTCTTTACTGTTTGTTGTGTTTGTTTGAATCTTGATTAATTCTTGGACGCTCCTTGACTTTTCACCGATAATCTGAAGTTAAGTCCTCTACCCTGCGGAATCCAATCTGTAATGACATTAAAGATGAAATATCAACAGTTTTCTTGAGAAGATAGAACTAGTGAGATTTTCCAAAGCTCCATTAGCAGATTTTAACTTCAAAGAGCTGGAGCATATTATATTACAAGTACTTCGAAGCCATATATACCTTGTCTAGAAGTATATCCTGAAAATCTTGTTGAGGTATCTGAATAGTTTTATAAATAGATGTTGCTAGTTGAGACAATTAGGAAAAGCAAATGAATAAGAAATCAATAAACTCTATTGGTTGAAGTAGCTTCCAGACCAAAACAAAGTGATTACTCCTTCATCACCCCAGTTTAAATGTATCAATTTTGTGACGCATAAACTGGAAAATAAGAACAAAAATCCTAAGGAAGGGAACTCTGCAGGAGTTGATGAGTTGGTAGGAGGAGAGGCAGCAAGGCTTGAGGATTTTGGAGCAGAAGCTTTCGGGGCGGAGGATTACGGGGTTAAAGATTTTGTCATCAAATTTCATTGTATCCAGCAGCTTTACCCTTTGCGGTGTCTGATAATTCTTCAAACACTTCTGTTGAGTCTGGTAATTTGTCCCTCTATGGACTAAACTAGGAAAACTCTTCATGAAACACGACATCATCTCCTAAGTCATTAATCCAATCATCTTCGTAATTCATTTGTTCAGGGAGGAACACTGCAAACGTTGATTTGTCCTTTAGGCTTGAATTGAATTTTTTTCTCTCAAGCCCTCAAATTGCCTTCTGCCGGCTCCATTTTAAATCAACAATATTTAGCATAATGAGTTGGTAGGATGTCCATACTTCACTTGTTTATTGGTGAAATAAGTACCATATTTCGCCCCATAATTGGTGCTAAATGTTTGAAAATCTTATTTAATTAGAAGTCTTCGAATTATCGTGTCTAATTGAAAATATGACACTTATTCAACTGTCACTTAAACTTGTGCTGGATATCATTTTTCTTGTCGAATTTATCTCTTGATAAAGATATATCTTTTCGATAATGATGCGTTTAGGTGGCAAGGTGACACCAGCCTCTACTTAAATTTGTGCCGGATACATTGTTCTTACCGAATTCAAGAACCTAGTCATTCTAATATGTACATATCCAAACTTTAAAATTGTTATCAAATGCATAACTACAATCATTACTATACTTGATGGAAAATGTTATTTGAAGACCACTATTTACAGATTGATGAGGTGACGATAAATTGAATTAAAACTCTCAAAATCCTTTCACCACTTTGAAGGTTGTTCTAATGCAATGTGGATTAATGACCAAAAGAATTTGGAGGATTTTTTTTTATTTGGTTAATGAGATTTTGACTTAGTCAAATCTAATCATATCATATGTTGAAAATAAATCTTTAAATTGTGATGTACATATAGTACCGCCAATACTAAGTTATGTCCATACCTTTTATAGTTTATACACATGAATAGTTTAACACAAGACTTGTCTCGGAGGCCGGAGCCCACAAAAAGTAACCAAGAGACAGAGTGCTTTGCCCTTCATATATTTAATATTTATATTATTTTCAAAAATTACATTTTTGAGTGAAATTTCGCTATATAAAAAATCTCAGCACGCTGATTGTATCAGCATCCAATTCGGTAAACCCAAACATGAGTTTTTCGTCAACATTTTTCTTAATTGTCATGCAAATTTATGTGTTCATGCTATTGAAATTCTATTGGGGTTGGTTTATTCACTCTCGTTTTACAGAAAAAAGAAGAAAAAAAATCAGTATTTTTCTATGATAATTCTTTTTCTCAAATAAGAAAAGTAGGTTCACGCTCCAATAAAATTTGGCACTATATTTATACTAAGTCTTACCGAAATCAAATATTAATTAAATAATGTTATAATATAACGAATTCTTCGACTCCACGTGATTCATCAATCTTGCCTTTAATCATTATCTACGGCCAGAATTTTATTACTCCACAAACCCAAGAAATTAATGAACTGAAACGTGGTTGGTTAGAGATATCAACTTTGGTAGGTGAAGAAATTTTGGCAATTGGATTGGTGGCGTATTCTTTTTTAATGCTAATCATTATTTCTCGATGTAGCTTATCATATGATTTTTGAATACATCTCAATCAACTTTTTAATCAACTCATGAAACAAATTTTGATTTATTTTTTCTTAAATCTATATAATGTTGTGAAAAATTCCTTACCCAACGACCTATAAGGTACTTGGCGATTTTTATTTTTTATTTTTTTGGTAACTTTTCATTGCAAAATTTGTTGAATCTGGAGGGATTGTAATGAATAAAATTAATGACATAATATGAAGTAATGAAAGTTACGAGGAAACAAGATTAAAAGTAAAGAAATAAACAAAAAAAATTAATCGTGGAGGAACGATGTATTATAAACTGACAATATAGAGAGAATTACAACATGACAGCAATAATAGTTTCAACTAAACTGACAGAGGGGCTTTATATTTATAGGCCGCGTATAAAAAAAAACTCTAGAAGAGAACTAAAATGTAAGAAATTATGTTAAAATTAGGTTACAATTGCGTAAAGAAAAAAATCTTTATATTTCCGTGTTTAACTTGGACACAAATTGATTTCTTTCCAAGCCAAGTGAAATTATGCGTCTCAAAGGACTCCTAATTTGAGTCACCAACCTAACAAAATTCAATTATTAAATATAAAGAAATGTAGTAACACTAAAATATAAGATTAGTACGAAATTGCTCAAGTGGACAACAAGTTTTAGCCATTCATTCAATTAAGGAGACAGATAGATACAAGCAGAAGCCAACCATTTTGGAAAATTTTGTAATTGGTCCATCAAGCTTGTCCTTATATGTCCCAATTGTCATCAAAACCATTTTCCAGTCAATTCATTGCCGTCTTATCTTTTTGGGCTGAAACTCTAACTGTATCCAATTGACATATTTTTATCATTTTTTTCTAGCATCTTCTAATGATAATTTAACCTATATATAGTTCTCTGGCCTGGTATATAGATATTAAACTTCAGTGTATATGAATATTAATGGCAGTACTCTATAAAACGTTAAGCTTGATCGGACAGTAAGTTAAAGTTTCAAGCTTTTACAAGTTTGAGTGTAATGTAAAAAAATGTAAAGTGTGGTTAAACGGTAAGTCCATGCTTTGTGTTTAAATGATCTTTTTGAATAACGATTAATAATGAGAGAGAGTGAATCTTTTCTAAAGCCCGGCTTTGAACCTTCCTTTAATGTGGCTCTGAATGCAAAATGTTGACTCGAAAGTAGTGATTGAGCTCTTCTAATCGTGAAAGAGGTTGGATAATTTGCTTGAAACGTAGAATGAGTACCAAAAATTAATTATAAAATTTGACTTCTCGTTTAAAGTTTATATCGAGTGGCACAAGTTGAACGTTCAATGTTGAGCGTAGTGATGTATACATATTTATAAATAAATGAATGTGATCTGCACGTTTTTGTTCTTTTCCTAATAGCTTAAACTTTTAGACAAGATGGTTATACAAATAGATGTTTGCTGAATAATATATACACATGGTTCCATCCAAGAACTTTCTTGTTTCTGTGTTTGTTCTTTGAAAACATCCCTTGAAGACAATTTTCTTCTCGAGGATACATACACAAACCAACAATAAATTCACTTAGCAAGTGAAGAAAACAAGAAAAGAGCCATGGCTAAGAATCAAGATATAGAGAAAGCTGAAAACAGTTTGCAAGAAGAAATTAAAGTTCCACTTATTTCACAAGAAAAGAGAGCAGAAAATGTCAAAAACTGCAGTGGAAGTGATAAGCAGATCAAGGAGGAAAGATGCATGGTTTACCTCAGTACATTTGTTGCAGTTTGTGGCTCTTATTCATTTGGATCTTGTGTAAGAAATAAGTACTTTCTTTAGAGCTTCTTATAAGTTCATTTGTTTGTTACCTATTCACAGAATCCAAAAGTTGCCTGTATTAAAGTAGAAAAGTGTTTTATTGGCCTTTTTTCATTTTTCAGGCAGGGTATTCGTCACCTACACAATCCGCCATCCGGGATGATCTGAGTTTAACCTTGGCAGAGGTTAGTGGGTTCGGTAAAATGGATTAGATAGTACTTGACAGGAAACTTGTTTATTTGGTACTGTTTGTTGCTATCCAACACTGTGTATTTAACATGGTTGAATTGTTCATATTAGGATTATCTGTCCTAATTTTGAAGAATTTTGTGAAATTGATTCAAGATTCATTTCTTTTCGACTCTTCTACTTTGCAGTACTCATTGTTTGGCTCAATACTGACATTTGGAGCAATGATTGGAGCGATTACTAGTGGTAAAATTGCTGATTATATAGGTCGTAAAGGGGTGAGCTAGACAAGATTCTAATTCATGTAGGAATATCAACCATTATCTAGAACTTCCTCCTGATTAATTTAGGTTCGTTGGATATGAAATGCAAGCAGGCGATGATAGTATCAAGTGGATTTTGTGTAGCAGGGTGGCTATCAATTTACTTGGCCAAGGTTTATATTACTATACTTTTCACTACTAGTTTCTTCTATTAGTTACCAACAAACGAATAAGCATACACAGAAATTCATGTTTGATAAAATTATGAGTAATTACTCCAGGGAGCTCTGCCTCTGGACATTGGAAGATTGGCAACAGGATATGGAATGGGAGTCTTTTCATATGTGGTAAAAATGTTTTTCGTTATAGATCAAATGATATTTGGCTAGGGATTCAATAGAAATATTCGTGTTATGTTCATTTTTTAATTGTTAGGTACCGGTGTTCATAGCTGAAATCTCTCCCAAAGATTTACGAGGAGCTTTGACAACCATAAACCAGGTAAAGATCCCCTTTATTACATATGTTTAGTACTTGGTGTTAGACCGTGTTGGACACTATACAAACTGATTTTTTCCTTCGTCAATCCACAGCTGATGATTTGTACTGGAGTATCTGTTTCCTTCATCATAGGCACATTTCTAACATGGAGGGCTTTAGCAATAACAGGTGATCATGCTTGGCCTAAAATGACCCGAGAAACTGGGATTTTCAGTACAGGAACATATGTTAAGCGACTTATGAAAATAAGTAATACTGTAGAAAAAACACTCACTTCGTGAAACTTGCAGGAATAATCCCATGTGCTGTTCTCCTTGTTGGCCTAGTTATCATCCCAGAATCTCCAAGATGGCTGGTAGGAAAAGAACATACAAATAAATGTATATGTCGTGTTGAATGATTGAAATTTACTAAAATGTTTAGTTGAAATGATGTCGAAATATACTCAGGCAAAAAATGGAAATCAAAAAGAATTTGAAGCTGCATTGCAAAGACTTCGGGGCAAAAATGCTAACATATCAGAAGAGGCAGCTGAAATCCAAGTACACACTTCTAAAATCCAGATTTCTTCATTAGTCATATATGCAAACAATATGAAGATGATAGTTATCATTCTTATTAATTATATATGCAAATGACATGAAGATGCTAGTATCATTCTTTTACAGGATTATATAGAAACTCTTGAGAAACTTCCAAAAGCCAAAATAATCGACTTATTTCAAAAACGATACTTGAGTTCTGTCACGGTAAATCTTTATTTCTGTTTCTTTTTGGCCTATTGCATGAGTTGGATTAGACAACACTAGATTGTATTAAGGAAGAAAAAGAAACTATACTCTTGCAAATTATATTGTCCAGATCGGGGTTGGACTAATGGTCTTTCAACAATTTGGAGGAATCAATGGAATTTGTTTCTATACCAGCAGTATTTTTGAGTCCTCGGGTAAATATTTGAAGAATGACTTCATTCTATTTTTAATCTTCTCGAGCAATACGCAAGTTTCCGACTCTGTCAAAAGAATGATATGTATATCTCACCTGCAATTTCTCAGGATTCCCGGCCAACGTAGGAACAATAACTTATGCTATTCTTCAGGTTGATACCTCCATTAAAGTGTCACTTTTTATGAGAAATTAGTGCGTTTTGTTTATATTGATCTTATCCTTCTCAGGTCATTATCACTGCACTAGGTGCAACATTAATAGACAGAGCAGGACGAAAACCGCTTTTATTGGTAAATCTCAGCCTTGAACCCCAACGTATTATTACATTATTCATAATATAAGTGCGCAAGGTTTCTTTTTCTTCAGGTTTCTGCATCTGGCCTTGTCCTAGGTTGTCTGCTAACAGGTAGCTCATATTATCTTAAGGTACAGATTCAACCTTTTAGCTTTTAGTTAAACCTAACCTTTCCCTTTTTATCAAAAGATTGTCATTCACAATGGACTATATTGTGTAACAGGAGCACAGAATAGCAGCGAACGCAGCACCAGCACTAGCCGTGATAGGCATCCTAGTAAGTTCACCCCCCTCCCCTCGACCAAATTGGAAAGAATTCTTCATGTAGATGATTTTCCAAACTCAGGTGTACATAGGAGCATTTTCAGTTGGAATGGGAGCAGTTCCTTGGGTAGTGATGTCCGAGGTACGATTAGTTGATAACTCGATCTCATCATGATCATTAGACATGGACAGACGATCATTTTGTTTAACAGTTGTATTTCTTGTAGATATTCCCTATAAATATTAAAGGAGTTGCAGGAAGCCTTGCAACACTTGTGAATTGGTTTGGCGCGTGGACTTGTTCTTACACATTCAATTTTCTTATGAGCTGGAGCTCCTATGGTAAGAAAAATGTATTGATATTGCTATATGGTTCAAAATGCAAGGAACAAACGTCTCTTTACATCTATGCAGGATATGTCCTAACCATCTAATGTTTGTAATGTGATTATAGGAACATTCATTCTTTATGCTGCAGTCAATGCACTTGCCATTTTGTTCGTGATCATAGTAGTACCTGAAACCAAAGGAAAAACTCTGGAACAGTTACAAGCAGCGATAAATGTTTCATAAAAAGCTTATGGCCCAAGCTTAGGACATATTTTTCCTCTGAAGCTTTTGCTTCGAGAGGAAATGGATTGATGATATTGTTGCAAATTATTATGTTAATGAATACGAAGGCACATGAAATGAAAGATTTAAATTCAACAAAACGGCTTGTCTACTTAAGACATTTTTTCTTCTTTAGTGACTCTATTACTTGAATAAAAGAAATGTAAAAGTATTTGTGTGTTCTCATGGGGTACAAAATGAATATGGGTATGTTTGTCAAGACTTTCACTTCTACTTCAGATTTTTGTACAAGTGCTTCATCAATAAATTATCTCGATCAATTTTCTCTAATGTATTCTAATTAGAAGAACTATCAGAATATTAGTCAAATAGGCTCTAAAGTAGCTTTTAACTTGGGGAAATCAGACCGTATACCCTAAATATGAGGCACTTTTGAAAAATTGTGTAAAAGGTTGTTACAAAGCATAAAATGCCGTATTTTTACATTAATTATAATTCGTAAACAAACTAAACCCTAATTATTTCCAACTTCATATATATATATATATATATTATATGGAGAATGAATATGAAATCCAGTCACAACTGTCTTCGGCTTCTAATTGGAGAAGTACGGTGACCATGTGGCTTTGCGACCAATAATAATTTGCCTCCAATCTGGTAAAATATGATTTGCATACCACCTTCTAAAGGTAAAGCCATTTTTTATTTCTTGCCAATCACAATGTTGGGCAAAAGTAAGCCCCTCTTGCTGCAGCTAGAGTCTATAAGAATATTCCGTCAACATGGTAATCATAGTGGTAGATAAGTAGCTGCCGAAGAAGGAAATAGAGAACGAAAATTGATAATTGGTAGAGGAAGCCATCCTCAACGACAAATAAGATGAATCACTGTACTTCGATGCAAGGCTATCGACTCTTAAGGGGTGCTCTACCACCATCCCCAAGTGGTGCTCTACCACCTTGCACGGCCATCGACCACCCACGGACGCTCTACCACTACGCGAGGCCGTTGACCCTCCCAGGGGGCGCTCTACCACTATCCCTATAGATCCCTCTACTTCTACGCGAAGTCTTCAACTGGCATGGAATTGCCTATCCAAACACTTAACCATAAAACCTCTAGTGAATTAACTACGTTCCATGGCGGTTAATACGAGTACAAGCTCCGGGCGGGAAGTTAAAGACCCCCCACTCAGAACGTGGGGTAGTGGGAATGCCAATGTGGGACACTTGGCACCACAACCGCCCAACGGTTATCCAGCTCCCAATATCTATAAATATCCCCAGATGTGACACAGGTAAAAGGATCTCTCTCTCTCTCTCTTTAGCCATCTGAATTTCAATTGCATTTTTTCCAAGTCTATAAACTAATTCTCACATCGGAGGTAAAACGAGGGAGGAAGCCCCGCCTTCGTTTTTCAGGTCACATACACTTGACGGAGTAGTCGCGCCGAACGCCACCAGGCAGATAGAAGGGTATTGTTCTACAACCATTTCATTGGCGCCGTCTGTGGGAAATTATTCCACTGAACACAAAGGTCACGTCGAGAAGACGAACAAGAAGTGACACACGCCTAAGAGCAGCAACGACGGAGGAAGAATCAGAATCGATTGCCAGAGGCCCCGATCCATCGCAGCCGCCGTAGTATGTGACGCAAAGCCAATTCAGCACCCTAGAGACCCAGTTAGCGGCCATGATGACCCTCTTGCAGAATCAAACGCAGAGAGCCGCCCTCTCACCGCATTCGGCAGAGGCCCCGCCTCCACCCCAGGAGGTCCACATAGAAACATCGTCTGCCATCCAACTGATGACTGCAGGCTCGGGGCTCCAAGGATGACGGTCTTGCAGTCTGTCCTACCCCTGGCAAATCTGGAGCGGAGAATGGAAAAGATCATGAGGAAGAAAATTGATGATGCGATTTCTAAAAGAAAAGACAAGCGCAGGCAGATGGTCTTAGAAGAGGACCCGTTCACTCCCGAGATCATGGCGGTCCCTTTACCTAAAGGCTTCAAGAAGCCTATGATAGAGGCTTACGACGGGGTCACAGATCCGCTTAACCATCTGCGGACCTTCTTTGATTTGATGAGACTCTATGCAGCACTCGATGCGGTAATGTGCTGGTCTTTTTCCCCTACTCTCAGGAGGGAAGCCAAAGACTGGGTGGCAACACTTGTGCCCCAGTCTATCCGAACATTTGATGAACTTTCCAGGATTCCTGAGTAGCAAGAGAAAGAGGAGGACAGCCATTGGACTGATACAGGTGGTCCAGGAGAAAGATGAGTCTCTGCAAGAATATCTGGCCAGATTTAGCCATGCGACCCTTGGAATAGAGGACCTTCAAATGTCGGCGATGGTGACTGCGTTGATGAATGAAACTCGAAACCGGGCTTTTAAGATGTCACTTTCTAAGAACCCCCCAGAATCAATGCACAACCTATTGAAAAAGGGAGACAATTATGTTGATGCTGAGGAGGCGAAGAAAGTCACAAAGAACCTTAGAGAGGGATGGGAAGTAGAAAATCCCAAGCGTAAGGCGGGGGACGACCTAAGACCTGCCAACAAAAATAGGCCAAGGAGTGAGCATATAGTGAAAGAGACCACCCAAGACCGGCCAGCCAGGCACAAACGAGAGGAGTCCAAGGTGTTCACTCCTTTGAACACCCCACGTGCTAAACTATTGATGGAAATATGAGACATGAAAGAGCTAGAATGGCCGAGACCCATGGTAACGCCAGCGGGCAAAAGAAACCAAGGCAGATATTGCCATTTCCACAAAGATCACGGGCATGATACTGAAGAGTGCCTGCAACTGAAGGAGGAGATCGAGCCCCTCCTAAGGCGGGGTCTCCTAGCCAAGTATGTAAAAGACTACCGGAGGAAGAAAAAAATGGAGGATCCCCCACCTAGGGCCGAAGTGATAAACATGATTATAGAAGGGCTAGTAGGAGGGAGAGATTCAAACTCGACAAGGAAAAGCTACGTACTCTCTCTCCGGATCTGCTCTATCCAAAAGAAGGCAAGGTTCAGCCAAAGCATCACTTTTGGCGAGGAAGACTTGGTAGGTGTGGTGCACCCCCATGATGATGTCCTAGTAATAGTAGGCGACATAGCTGATTTTGACGTCAAAAGAGTATTGGTCAATGGCGGAAGTGCCGCAAATGTTCTCACCTGGGACGCTTTTTTAGGCCTGAAGGTCCCACCTGACAAGTTAAAAATAGTGAACACCCCCTTGCAAGGCTTTGGAGGAGCCACGGTGATTCCAGAAGGTACTGTGGAGCTCCCGGTCACACTAGGCACATATTCGACCACTGTAGTAATTGTGGCAAGCTTTTTGGTCGTTAAGACCCCCATGGCCTATAATGCAATCTACAGTCGGCCATTACTCAACGTAGCTGGGGTCATCACCTCGACCTATCACCAGGTCCTGAAATTTCCAACCAACAGGGGAGTCGGGTGTGTGCGGAGGGATCGACAAGCATCTAGAAAATATTATGTCGATAGTATATCAGTCAGAAGAGCCCCTCAGTGATGATGTTAGAAGTCGAACCTCTGAGAGGACGGATTGAGCTACTTAACATGATCGAAAAGATTTCCATAATGGAGGGTCGGGAGGTCAGCATCGGGGCTGAGTTGGACTCTAATGAAAAAGAGAAGCTGGTGAGGTGCCTGATAGACAACCTAGACGTCTTTGCATGGAGCCCAAGTGATATCACTTGGGTTAGTCCAACACTCGCTTAGCATTGCCTCGGAGTCCTACCCGGAGCCAAACCAGTAAAGCAGAAGAAAAGGAACCTCACCCCCGAAAGGCAAGAAATAGTAAGGGTAGAAGTGGAAAAGCTATTGCAAGCAGGTTTCATCCAAGAGGTACGGTACCCCGAATGGTTAGCCAACATTGTGCTAGTAAAAAAGTCAAATGGGAAGTGGCACATGTGCGTAGATTATACCAAATTGAATAAGGCATGCCCTAAGGACTCATACCCGCTCCTACAAATAGACCACCTCGTCGATGCCACATCGGGTCACGAGAGGCTTAGCTTCCTAGACGCTTTCTCGAGGTATCATCAAATCTCTATGGCTGAGTGCGACCAGGAGAAGACGTCGTTCATCACAGATTCTGGAACCTACTGTTACACTGCCATGCCTTTTGGCGTGAAGAATGCAGGGGCAACTTACCAGAGGATGGTGAATAGGGTCTTCCAGGAGTTGATTGGAAATGTCATAGAAGCCTACGTTGACGATATGGTGGTAAAAAGTATTAAGGTCGTCGACCACGTGGCCTGTCTGCAGAGAGTGTTTGACATAGCCCGATAGAATAATCTGAAATTCAACGCCGAGAAATGTGTTTTTAGTACAACCGGTGGAAAGTTCTTGGGTTTTATGATCACCCAGCGAGGTATTGAGGCGAATCCCGACAAGATACAAGCAATACTTGAAATGAGAAGCCCTACTAGTAGGAAGGAGGTCCAGCAGCTAATAGGGCTTGTGGCAGCCCTTAACCGTTTTATAAGCCGGGCAGCGGACAAGTGCTACCATTTCTTTAAAGCCATTGGGGGCTCTGCAAATTTTGAGTGGACTCAAGAGTGTGAGGAGTCGCTGGAATCCTTAAAGAGGTCACTACAGCAGCCTCCCATATTAACCAGTCCATGCCTTGGGGACGTACTATGTCTCTACCTCGCAGTACTGCCACAGGAAGAAATGGGGTAAACCGGATTTATGGCAACTATCCAAGAATTTCAATGTGTGAATCGAGGGTTCAGACTCTAAAACTTATCTGATTTTATCAATTGTTAGAGAATTTTTTCTCGAAGAAATCATGAATCTTCTAGGATATTATTAAGGATCTCATCGAAAACTTACAGCAGCCGCCACGGGCAATCAGTGCAGTTCTCGTAAAAGAATTCTCAAAGGCACAAAAACCAGTCTACTATGTCAGTCAGGTCCTCAAAGGCGCGGAGACAAGGTACAGTCTGGCCAAACAACTAGTGCTCGCATTGATCATTGCGATTAGAAAATTGAGACCTTACTTTCAGTCCCATACGGTACAAGTGATGACCGACCAACCCATCAAACAAATCCTACATCGACCAGAGACATTCGGAAGACTGCTGAAATGGGCAATTAAAATGAGTGAATTTGACATTGAATTCAAGCCAAGGACCGCCATCAAAGCGCAGGCTCTGGCATACTTCATTGCTGAGCTCACCATCCCAATAGAACCCCTAGAAGGGCAAAAGACAGATTGGAAGGTTTTTGTAGACGGTTCTTCAAATACGGAAGGATCAGGCACAGGAATCATAATGATTGGACCAAACTCCGAGGAATTGGAATACTCACTGCGCTTCGAGTTCCCCACGACTAACAACGATGCTGAGTATGAAGCAGTAAATCACAGGCCTAGGTCTGGCAGCTAGGTTGGGAGTGTCTTCGGTAGAAATTTACAGTGACTCGCAGCTGATAGTTGGACATGTATCAAGGGAATATGAGGCTAAGAGGCAGCCTACCAGATGAAAGTAAGGGATTTGCAAAGAGGGTTCGCAAGCTTCAGGATAACAAAGGTCCCACGAAACGAAAATTAGCGGGCAGACACGCTAGCGAAACTCGCATTGGCAAACCCAAGAAATCTGTCACGAACAGCGAACGTGCAAGTTTTACAACGACCCAGCATCCAACGCTGGGTCGAGGTGAAAAATATTGTGTATGAGGAAAGTTGGATGGATCCGTTAATCAAATATCTCACAGAAAATAAAACACCAGAAGATCCCTTTGACGCAAGAAGGTTGAGAGCTCGGGCAGCCTCATTCACCATCATTGATGGGAAACTTTAAAAGCGGGGTTTCACCATGCCATATCTGAAGTGCATACGACCCTCAGAGGCTAAAGAGATACTATTTGAAGTACATGCTGGAACTTGTGATAACCACCAAGGGGCAACATCCCTTGCTTTCAAAATTCTACGGCTAGGCTACTATTGGCCAACCATGAAAAGAGATGCCAAGGAATTAGTAAGAAAGTGTGACATATGTCAACGACATAAAAATTTGATCCACGTCCCAGACGAGCAACAGGCAACCATATTTGGGGTGTGCCCATTTTTTCAGTAGAGGATGGACATTTTAGGGCCTCTACCTTTAGCTAAGGGGCAAAGGAAGTTTTTGCTGGTCGTCATCAACTACTTCACTAAGTGGGTAGAGGCAAAACCACTTGCGACCATCACAACTGCAAAAGTACAGGGTTTTGAATGGAAAAATATAATATGCCGATTCGGGGTACCCAAGGTAATGGTAACAAATAAGGTAGACAATTTGATAATCATAGCTTCAAGGTTTTTTGTGCAAGTTATCACATCGACCATAGACTGACTTCCATCGCTCACCCACAATCGAACGGGCAAGCTGAAGTGACCAACCGAGTCATTCTTTGGGATCTGAAGATCAGATTGGAAAAGGAGAAGGGGCTTTAGGTAGACGAACTTCCCAATGTGCTGTGGGCGTACCACACAACTCCATGAGAGCCAATCGAGGAGACGCCATTCAGACTAACCTTCGGGATGGAAGCCATAGTCCCAGTTGAAATTATGAGTGAGACAGGCAGGATGAAAGTCAGACAGCTCGATGACCCCACGACCAGAGGAGAACTCGACATACTAGAAGAAGTAAGGGAGAATGCGAAAATAAAGATGATGGCCTATAAACGAAGAGCCACCGAATATTTCAATCGGAGAGTGAAACCAAGAATCTTTCAACTAGGGGACCTCGTGTTAAGAGAAGCGGCAGCAACAGGACACCCCCTAGGAAAACTCGGACCAAATTGGGAAGGCCCGTACGAAGTAATCTGCAGCCTAGGAAAGGGGGCTTACAGCTTGAAAGACATGAAGGGACAACCACTGGGTAGACCGTGGGATGCAGAGCATCTCAAAAAATACTACCAGTAAATTTTAGAATAGACGCATGGACTACATTTTTGTAAATACAGTAGATAGATTGCCTTGTTAATTCTCTCTATATAATGCCTCACGAGGCACCTTTAGTTGCATTTCTTTATTTAATAAAAAAACCTTGGTAGTAGCAAGTGATGAGGGCGCTAAGGAAGGGCCAACCTAGCTGGGACGTCCCGATGTACCTACTGAGCTCACGAATCCAAGTATTTTTATATACCGATATGCAGTCTCAGACTCCCCCTCATCCCATGAAGACATATGGTCGACATAGCCTACGCGGCTAGGCGGAGAGCCTTAACAAGCCAAAAATTGGCTAAGGCCCTTAACCGGTAAACCCTTCTCCCGCTCTCTCGACGGTCGACATGGCCTACACGATTAGGCAGAGAGCCTTAACAAGCCAAAAATTGGCTAAGGCCCTTAACCTCTAGACCCCTCTCCTGACAGTCGACATAACCTACGCGGCTAGGCGGAGAGCCTTAACAAGCCAAAAAATTAGCTAAGGCCCTTAACCGCTAGACCCCTCTTCCGACGTCGATATTGCTCACGCGGCTAGGTGGAGAGCCTTAACAAGCCAAAAATTGGTTAGGTCCTTAACCGGTAGACCCATCTCCCAACGGTCGACATAGCCTACCCGGCTAGGCGGAGGGCCTTAATAAGCCAAAAATTAGCTGAGGCCCTTAACTGCTAGACTCCTCTCCCAACAGTCGACATAGCCTACGCAGTTAGGCGGAGAGCCTTAACAAGCTAAAAATTGGCTAAGGCCCTCAACCGCTAGACCCCTCTCCCGACGGTCGACACAGCCTACGCGGTTAGGCGGAGAGTCTTAACAAGCCAAAAATTTGGCTAAGGCCCTTAATCGCTAGACCCCTCTCCAGATAGCCGACATATCCTACGTGGCTAGGCACGGGGTAACACAAGGCTAAAATTGGCTAGGACCATCGATCACTGAACTCTAGGCCGATAAAAAACCACTCCCCCGCACCATCAAACAGTGAAAAGAAAAGGAAGGACGACATGAGAGACGGCAAGTTGAAGGAACAACGCACTCAACACTAATAATAGCGAACGAAAAATGTGTTTATACCTATGAGAAATTCTTGCCCACACCTCAGATAAGTAGGAGATAATGAGACTAAATAAAAGTAAACATGAAAAAGGAAAAGCTAGCAAAGAAAACAACAACTAAGAAATACTTCAGCTTGAAGGGGAGACATCCCCACTACCACCTTGTGATGAACGTCCAAGTGACCTGGATGACTGTGCTCCACTCTCCTTCCCCTTGTGCTGCGTAAGAAATCTATCTAGACCAGAGGGATCTATAGAAGGATGCTCAGCCATAATCCACTCCTTGGAGAGTTTGATAGACGCGGTCATCGCCTTCCCCCCATATGAATTCAAAGCCTTAGCATAATCAGACGACGTCTTATACTGCTCCACAGATACCTTGAGATCTCTGGCATACTCAGTTGAGGCCTTATACCTCTCAATCGCCTCCTCTGGAGCGTGAGCCAAAACAGAACGCAAGTTGTCATTCTCTGTCTCTTGTTCGCGAGCTCGAGCATCCAACGTCTCCAGAGATTTTCTCAAGGAGG